GCCTGCAGCGCCGCCTCGCGCTCCGCCGCCAGGTCCAGGTCCTGCTGCGCCAGGTGCGCGCGCAGCTGCCGGATCTCAAACTGCGGGAGGGACAGGGCCGGGTGGGTCCGCTGCAGGGGCGCGCGGGAGGGACGGGGTCCCGCAGCGTGACCGCCGGGCGCTCTGCTCCTGGTTGGGGGCGGCGAGGAGCCGGGGTGGGGGCATCCGACGCCTGGGTGGCGCGCTCCCCAGGTGAGCCTGTGGCTCGGGCATCCTGTCGCTTGGCCCCATGTCACGGGGTCTGGGAGAGGACACCCGACTGGAGTTTGTGGGGTGGCCAGCTGGACAGCGGCAAGGAACCCTGGGTTTGAATGCTGCTCTAGCTACTTGCCCGGATGTGCGACCCCAAGGGGCGCCTGACAGCGATGATGAATGGGGGACCGGGAACCCCGGGACACCCAGGGCCGGTGCCACCAGACTTGAGTGTCCAAACACCCACTCGTCTCCTCCACGAGCCGTGGCTCCCGGTCAGGCAGGACCGAGTTTCAGACCCAGCCCTATGGCTTCCTGGCCACGTAGCCTTGGGCAAGTCCCTCCACCTCCCCAAGCCTCGGTTTCCTTTTTCGGCAAAATGGGGTTCTCGCCTCTTTGAGGACTTGAGTGGCTTCATAAGGGCTTTGTAAAAACCGAGGATATTTGTTGTTGTTGGGCAAAGCTTCTTGGAAAGGCTTCCAGCGGCTTCTCGGCCTTCCTGGGACATCTTGGGTCTGGCATCGCTGGGCGGGCCGAGGGCTCTCTGGAAGGAGGGCCTTCACTGCCGCCTAGTGGCCTCCGCACACATCGCACCGCTTCCGCGCGGGGGAGGGAGGGAGGGAGGGGAAGAGCGGAGACCGCGGCTCCTCTGCCGCCCCGGAAGCTACCGACTTGCCGAAGCCGCCCAAAGGCTCATCTCCAGCCCTGACCCCTCCCGGAGTGTCAGACTCGCACTTCCAACTGCCTACCGGACAGCACCACGCAGCTGGTTCACGGGAGCTGCAAACTCAACCTGGTGGAAAGAGGACGCTCGGTTGTCTCTCCAAACCTGCTCCTTGGGGGTTTTCATCTCATTTTAGCAGGAGCCAAGAATGTAATCACCTGCCTTGCTTCCTCACTTGCCCTCACCTCAACATCCAATCTGGCCCCCAAGTCCAGCTCCAGCTCCACTGCCGGGTCTTGCCCGGCCCTGCACTCCAACACGAGTCACAGGGACTCTCTCAAACCTAAATCAGATCACGGCACCCCTGTCCCCAAACCCCAGCGGTTTACCACCTCACTTGGAAGAAAACCCAGACTCCCTACCTTTTTCTTACAGGGTCCACCTGGCCACCTGCTTCTCATCCTCTCCCTCAGTACCTGCCTGGGAGACACAATCCTTCTCCCGATCCCTTAAAGACACCAAGTGTGTGCCGGTCTCAGGGCCACTTTCATAGCTGCTCCCTCTGTCTCGGGTCACGTGGCAGCCCGCCTGGGAGAAGCCCCCCCAATCTATGGCAGCCCTTTAGGCACTCAGTTAGTTGCATCAGCCTGTTGGAATTCTCTGCACCCCACTAATCACCTTCTGTTTTTGTGTATTTAGTTTAATGCTTTATTAATTTCATTTTTATGAAAGTAAAACACACACACACACAGCTAAAAGCACTCACTAACAATAGGGTGGCCAGAGGCAGAAACATGGCACTGGACAACCTCCCGATGCGTGTCTGTAGGCTTTATCTCTGGAACCACACAGATTTTCCAGAGTTCTTCACCTTCCTGCCTGGGGTATACCTCTGGTTGCCTCTGTGCTGGGAGCAGGGCAGGGGGACCGGGCAGAGGGTCCCAACTTCAGGGGGAAGGACTTTTACTAAATCCTCCTTTCAGCTCTGCACCTTCCCCTGGGCCTCTGCCTAACCCAGTGCCTGTATGCAGAGCCCTCTGGTGCAGTTTCTCTAGAGGACACACCTCTTGATTCTTGCATGGAGGAGGAGTGTAGATTCCTGGCTGGGCAGGAATTGGAAGGGCGCCCAGGGATTTGCGCAGACTTTGAGCCAATCTCCTTGCCCAGTGTCAGTTTCACATTCCACCCTCTTCCTCTTAGACTCTCAGGGATTCTGAGGGGAGATTCAGCCCATTTCCCTCACTGTCCTCCTCTATGGGCACTTCAGTTACAAATTCTCCACTCTGCTAGATCAGTGACTACTTTCTTGTCAAGTCTCCATTTCCCCAAATTCACTGAAATCTCTCTTCTTTCAGAGATTTGAGCATGGCTCATTTTAGGGTGGAGAGACAGTTTCTTACTTCTTACGTTTGTATTTTTTTGCTTTAGTATTTTAGTGAAGTTTTGGGAAAGAGATCAGATAAATAGATGTAGTCATGCCACCATTTTTATTTATTCGTTTGTATGTTTGTTTATTTTTGAGTTGGAGTCTCACTCTGTTGCCCAGGCTGGAGGGCACTGGCATGCTCATGGCCGCTGCAGTCTCGACCGCCTGGGTTCAGGCGATCCTTCCGCCTCAGCCTTCCAAGTAGTTGGAACTATAAGCTTGTGTCACCACGCCCGGCTAATTTTTCTTGATTTGTTGTAGAGATGAGGTCCCACCTCATGAGGGCTCAGGCAATCCTCTCACCTTGGCCTCCCAAAGTGCTGGGATTATAGGCGTGAGCCACTGTGCCCGGCCTATGCCACCATTTTTAAAGGGCTCTCCATGAGTTTACTTCTCATGGGAGAGCCAGTAAAAAATAAAAAGACCCAATTTGTAGAGTATGCTAATCTCTGTGGTGTGAATTCTCCCATTATGGCTGATTTCAGGCTACCAGCAAGATGTAATGGGAATTGGGGAGAAATGTACATAATCGGCTCTCGTGGGCAGTGGGAGCTCCAATGCACCACTGCCACCTTCACTCCCAATAGAATATAATCTGCATAACAGCAGGGACCTTGTCTGTTTTGTTGCTTAGTACACAAGAGGGACCCAGTTAATATTGTTGAATACATGAATAAATCAATACATGAAACTGGTTAGCTTTGTTCAACTCTGAGCTGCAACTCTAACCCAAGCTAAGACAAAGACTGAGCCCCTGTGCCAGCTACACACTGAGCCCTGACCCTGGTCACACATCGAGCCCTGACCTGGTCACACATCGAGCCCCGACCCTGGTCACACACTGATCCCTGACTGACCCTGGTTACACACTGAACCCCAACCCTGGTCACACACTGAGCCCTGATCCTAGTCACGCTCTAAGTCCTGACCTGGTCACACACTGAGCCCTGACATTGGTCACACTCTGAGTCCTGACCCTGGTCACACACTGAGTCCTGACCCTGGTCACACTCTGAGCCCCAACTCTGGTCATACACTGAGCCCTGATGCTGGTCACACACTGATTCCTAACCCTGGTCACACACTGAGCCCCGGTCCTAGTCACGTTCTGAGCCCCAACCTGGTCACACACCGAGCCCTGATCCTGGTCACACTCAGAGCCCCAACTCTGATCACACAGAACCCTGAACCTAGTCACACTCTGAGCCCCGATCCCGGTCACACCCCGACTCTGGTCACACACTGAGTCCTAACCCTGGTCATATACTGAGCCCTGAGTCTGGTCACAGATTCTGGACCTTGACAACCCAGCACTCAAGTAGGGCTGAGGCCTCAGAGGGTGAGAAAGTGAGGATGGCTCATTATAGGGTGGCCTTTGTGCAGGAGAGGGTGCGAGCTACCCCACTGGCAGCAAGGTCTCAGAGGTCACCAAGGGCCCCTGAGGCAACCCTCCCAAGCTCTGATGGGGCTGGGAGCCCCTCCTGCTCGACCTGAACTTCCCATGGGCACACCCAGCCCACTTTCTCCAAGGCCACTCATCTGGGCCTGCAGACCCAGCTAATGGCTTCCTAGGCCACTCTAAAGGGATGCATTATTGATGGCTGGTAATTGATATGGAGCTGCCCAAGGGTGTCCCACTGGAATTCAGGCCAGACAGCCAGAGGCCCTGGGCTTGCCCAGCCCCAAGCTCACATGTGCAGACACAGGCATGCACAGAAACAAGTTTTTGTTGTTGTTGTTGTTGTTTTTAGTTGGGTCTCATTCTGTCACCCAGGCTGGAGTACAGTGGCATGATCATGACTCACTGACCTCAGGCAACCCTCCCACCTCCTGAATAGCTGGGAGTATAGGCGTTCGCCATCACACCCAGTTAATTCTTTTATTTTTTGTAGAGACGAGGTCTTGCTGTGTTGCCCAGGCTGGTCTCAAACCCCTGGGCTCAAGCAATCCTCCTGCCTCCGCCACTCAAAGTGCTGGGATTACAGGTGTGAGCCACCATGCCTGGCCTAGTTTTAAGCTAAAGATATGAACTCCAAGTGTGTGGTAGTTTTCCCATTCATTCATTCAGTAAGTCAGAAAATCATGGTGGAGACCATGTTGAAATTCTGTATATGTTTTGGAAAGAAAATGTCTCCCTCAGCTTGGAAGTAGATCGTGGGTGGACCTAGCAAAGGGCCTGTCTGCTGCACTGCAGGGAACAAGTATCCTCAAGAGACAAGGCTGGCTGTCAGGTGGTACTTGTGGCAGAAGAGGCTAGATGTGTACAAGAGACAGGGGACCTGTAGCTAGGAGGGGTTGGGGAGACCTGCAGGGTGAGATGTTTTAAGGACTTCAGGCTTTATTTAAAGAGCAATGAGAAACCACTAGAATCTTTCAAGGGTAGAATGGTGGTGCAGTGATCCAGATGAGCCTTTTGAAAGGACTGTGCTGACTGCAGAATTGAGAACAGGTTGGATGGGGCCAGAGTAGATAGGGGAATACCAGCTAGGAGGCTACTGCAGCAGTCCATGCCAGAGAAGGCCAGATATAGACTGGGGTAGAGACAGTGGAGATGGAGATGAGAGGAAGGCTAAGAAAACTATGTAGGAGGTGAGGGTGTCAGTGCGTGGCATGGACTGGAATGGGGGTGAGGGAGAGGGCAGCCTGCTTCGGTGACAGATTTTGACAAGTTGCACACTCAGAGAGGGTGAGGTGGCTGATCTCTCTGCCTCACCATGAAGAGAAATGACTGACTCCTCAGAGGGGAACTGTGGGTGGGC